ATTGTGAAGTAATCAGAAATAGGAGCTGAAATACTTCTGCTTGATACAGTAAGACCCCAAGATGTGGACATAATTGGTGCATCAAGAGTTACCTGATGTTGTAATGTCCCAAAGTTGAGTCTTGTTCTCCTTCAAAATTTAAAGCTGATTAAATTGATTGTTCTCCTATAAACCTATTTCTCAAAAAATTAGAAATAAGTGCAAAAAATATTTAATAAAGATTGTTCCTGCCGCATTCAAGTTGTAGAAAAAAAAGAGCAGAACAAAACCATATACAGTAGTAACTGATTTTTTGGCATTGAAAGGAGATAAAAAGAAATTAAAAAAAGAAGTTTTGCCTAAACACGCACATACTCTATAATAGAAACAAGGAGGTTTTGCAAGCCTACTAGTATGATTGTCCGAATTTCAGGGTTTCCGCATATATTGGGATCTCACTGACTTTCAATTCTCCAACAGAGAAGTATTGGATTGAACCGTCTTCCGACCAACACCTCTCCCACAGACTCAAAAATTGCTCCCACTCCTGCTTTTCTGTACAAGCTGGCAAAAATCCGCCCAGAATTCTTCCCTTTTTTCTCTCTTCCCCTTTCAAAACACAATAACTGAAACTGCCGCTAAGAACCAGGGGATTTTCAAGATTTTCTTGCACCATCTGGCTTGGAAAATTTTGGCTGCAAAATAAAATTGCTACCAAAGCCTTTGTCCGCCCTCAGCAGCATCCACACCTCTTTTTCCTTGGCCAAACCTGTGCGATATATAAAAACAAAAGGCAAGGAAAAGAAAAAAGGCACAAGAACACAAACCTTGAAAATCATTAAGTAAATCCCGGAATTCATTCGATGAAACATAAACTTTCTGCCCAAATAATTTTTAAATCATAGTGTTTCACTACAATCACCAGAAGATAGGTTGACTTTTTGAAGAGTACTGAATCTCTCCAAAAAATCAGGGTCTCTTCTCAGTGCTTTATATTTCACAAATCTAGTATTTTTTCTCAGAGCTCCCTTTCCTGAAATCTTCCAGAGGGAAGAAACATTTTCTGAGGCAACTTCACAAGGTTTAAAGGCAGCAATAACTGCTGTTCAAAATGAAGTTGAAGGATGTCACCGTTTTCTCAACAATAAATGCACTTGATATGCAATATTTGACACTTCTGTGATTCCTGAAGTGCTTCTGCGCACATAGGATAACTCATGGGAGTTCCATTGGAAATACGTGTTTTGACATATTGTTTGCCATGTTAATCAGCTGCACTGTAAATGGAGATGATGTGGCCTTGTTCTGTAAAATCAAGGTTGAAAATACATTCTGTTTGATGCCAATTTTCTTTGAAATGCAGAATAATAGTCATGTGGATCAGAGCCATTATTGAATGACGCTGGAAATTTCTGCAGTTCTAATACGCACACGTTACCAATTTTGTAATACAACAATGTTGAATCATTCAGTATATTTCTGATCATAATTTACTTTTGAACTGAGGATGGTCATGCTTCATGAATAAAATCGAAATTTTGGTATCAGTTGATTTTTAACATTTTGAGGATTCCTGTTGCTTTCTTTTATTCATTCTAGGATATTTTTTACATTACAGAAAAGCAATTTGGGTAATCTGACTCCAAGAAAGTTCGTGGAAACAATAACGGAGAACGACTCAACTTGGTGTCATTGTGAACAGCAGGGGTGATACTTCCACTGCAAAAAGAGGAGTCCAGGATATCTTCTCAGATATGAATCTACTGCTTCGCAGGTTGCTGTTCATCATCTTGGCAACTTTATTTTGTTTTCATTTATACTACAATTTGACAAAAGTGAAGAAGGAATCCCGTTTCATCGCAGCATCCAGCAGTACTCTTTGCAACTTTGACAACCAAACATTTTCAGAAATCACATCTTGGAACTGCACCCAGAAACGGTTTGTTGCTATCATGGACACAGGTGGACGGTATGGTCACAAAATGTGTGTGCTCCACATCCTGCTGGCCTACCAACGCCTCCTCAACAGTGTACCTCACACCAAATACATCTACACCGCCTTGATTCCGAAGGTCAATCTGGAATATTTATGCAAACTATTCGATATCCCTGCTGGAATCGTGTGGCCACTTGAACTGGTCAATAGAGGACAGTGCAAGGTGAATTTTGGAGCAAAGGATGTTCACATCGATAATTTCGCAAATGACTGGCCTCATGTCATAGGACGAGACCTCAGGATGTATCCATGGAAGATGCCCCGGATGCATATCAATCAAACAGATGAAATTCGGGAAAGACTGTTCAAAATCAAGCCTTTTCGGAAGGCCCAGGCTGATGAGATCCTGCAGAACTTGACTCATTCTACAAACACCACACTAACCGCCATCACAGATCCTTCGAAACTAGCTTTTGTTCACATTCGACGAACAGATTACATGCACTGTTCCATGTTCTTATATCCGAAATGTCTTTGACGTAGGCGCTCGTTGTAAGCCCTACGGTAAGCTGTGAAGTGAAGTGCGCAGATGTGCCGCTGTTTCACAAACACGACCAGTCACTACTTGACGACTGGGTTCGGAATCAGCTAATGTCAAACTTGGATGGCTTGGAACCTAGTGCAGTTGTTGCCCTGGGGAATGAAAAGTCACCGGAAGCAGCATTTGCAGTAATGCTGAAATGCAAGGGAGGCGGCATCATCACTCAGGGTTCTTTTGGGATTTGGGCAGGTTTGCTTGCTGGAGGTCCCATCCTCAGATTGGTCCCAAATGTGTCTCATCAGCACCATTCCAGAAGNTTTTGGGTTTTGGGCAGGTTTGCTTGCTGGAGGTCCCATCCTCAGATTGGTCCCAAATGTGTCTCATCAGCACCATTCCAGAAGTATCCTTGTGAACATTGATGAGAGCCATCCAAATTTCAAGAATTTAATTTATTTTCCATAGCTCTGCAGATCAAAAGAAGATAGGGTTTTCCTGAACTCTAGGGTAAAGTGTTGTTTTTTCTTTCTCTCTGCCATACGTGTAAGTTACAGGTGTCACATAAATATCATAAAACCTGAATAACGCAATGCAGTTACTTTTGAGCAGGAATACCTTGCAATGGGGAAATTCCATGGAATTCATACATTGTGCAATCTCTTTCTTCAAACTTCCTGATTTTGCCCATTTTAGTCAGTGGTGATTGTTCCTCAAATCATTTGGAGCTGATGTTTGATTTATTGCATGCAAGCTTTGAAATTTATTGAAATATTATTACTTTGCTCTTTCTGTAAGTTCTACCAAAACTTTTCTGCCAAGTTTCCCTGTGGCTTTTTTGTCCAATTCATTGTAATTCCTGTATTATTTTCTTTGTTGGAATCTTATCGTTCCAAATGTGTGAAAATAATGGCGCATGCGAACAAGATCTTTTGTAAAACGATTCTACTGTTTCACAGAAAGATGTGAAAATGAGCGTATGCAATCTTGTTTCTGGAAATAATTCGATGATTGCTGATTCCCTTGTATTGCCCCCCATACTATTGAGCTTTTGAGCAAATTTACAAAACCGATTTTGGACACAATTTCAGGACACAATGCTTTTATTGAATCCTCAGCATTGAGTTTCTGAGAAAACGCACTCATGAATAACAATGCGAAGAAAACGGATGACGTGGGGTTTCTGCACGAGAGTTGAGGAAAACCCTATCTTCTTTTGATCTGCAGAGCTATGGAAAATAAACTAAATTCTTGAAATTTGGATGGCTCTCATCGATGTTCACAAGGATACTTCTGGAAGGGTGCTGATCAGACACATTTGGGACCAATCTGAGGATGGGACCTCCAGCAAGCAAACCTGCCCAAATCCCAAACATCATCACTGACCAGCACAAACACTTTGTCGCCGTGTAGACGCGTGAAGTGAAGTGTCGAATGGCATCCCGAATGTTGCTCGCGGATGCAGTTTCTGTAAAGCCTATATTCTTGTACCTTGTCACGTAATCTGTTCGTCGAATGTGAACAAAAGCTAGTTTCGACGGATTGGTGATGGTGATCAGTTTTTTTCATTTTTCTCTGAACCAACTGCATCGAAGATCTTGAGTTTTTTTCTCAAGATCTTCGATGCAGTTGGTTCAGAGAAAAAGAAAAAAACTGATCTGTAATCAATAAATTGACAAAATCATTACATAGAGGATCAAGCAAAAAATGAACAAAACCCTCAGGATGTCAACATTTGCACTCAAAAGAAGCCCTATGAGAGCTTCCCTTGTGATGTTTTTTGTTTTTGTATTTATGTGCTTCAAAATTATACAAGATTTAAAGATCCCCATCAGTTGAAGGTAATGAAGTATCAATGAAAAAGAGAAAAAACTTCAGCACAAGCCCTCAAAGGATCAGGGAACATGGAAAGTGTGTCATTACTTTCAGAGGAGGCAAATTATCATGTTATGATGTTCCTGAAGCCACTTGAAGATACGTTCTTGGAGTGAATGGTGAAGAAACATGTGCAAAGTTGAATCAGTGACTATTTCAAGCAATAATAAAATGATTGAAAAAATGAAGTATAATCTACATAAATAAATCCATGAATCTTTAGGCAACATTTTTTCCCACAGAACTGATGAGTTTGATTCAACAAGATTCTCCTGAATCACCCATTGAAACAACGCAAGACATGTGACCTAAATCCTAATACAATTATTGTAGCTGAACCTTGCTAAAAGTTGAACTTTTTGTAATTTGCATTGCTAGTGTATATCCCTGGCAAACCTCTTGAGATGATTTCCTGCCAAATAACCCTAACTCAAAAGTTGTTGGCTCTAAAGCTGGCTAGTTGAACTTGGAGACTCCTAAGTTCAAGTTTTTGGAGTTCAACTGGAAGATATACAGCTCATTTATAATCAGTTCAGAAACATTAACCAAATTTTCGCATGCACAAAATTGTATTCAACCCACATAATGTAAACATGAATGAATGCTGAGCAGCTTAATTTGGTCTCAGGAAGATGCCAACCGTTGAGTTTTGATTAGCCATTACATTTCCTTTCTGCAGTGATGATCATTATTATGGTAATTTTACATTATATGGCCATACTTAATTTTTTTCAATTCCAAACATTTGAATGTTCAACAAATTCTGTTCAAAACAAACTATTCTACCTTAACAAGGCAAGAGAAGCTACCCACAACAATTTCAAGAATATTTTTCTTGAAGGGGATTTAAAATACTTGCAAAAGATCTGTTTACAACTCCCAAGAAAGGTAATTGAATATGCAGGTGGGCTTACATTTAATTCTTCTTCTTCACTGTTTCAATGTTTGTATGTGACTTTGAAGAGGGGAGCGTTTTCAAGGGGAACTAACACATCCAAACCAAGGAAGGAAGTTCGCAACTCAATCAAGACCACTTTTTGGTTCTAAAAAATAAAGTTCTTTGGTATCCACAGTGAACACTACTACAGGGGTTAACTCACATTCAAGCGGTGCGCTTCTGGTGTCTGAGCTGTTCCAATTTTTTCTCGCTTCAGAAATGCCCAAGAGTAAGGAACTAATCAATAGAGAAGCATCATCCGCATACAGTACAGTACAAGGGAAACTTTGGGTGAAATTCAATTCATTTTGGAAGACAGACATCATCCAGACTAGGGTAAAGCAAAAATGGATACAATCAGGGCAAGTATTGGCCATAGTTGGATCCCGGGGGTGGTGGTGGACCTCGAATGTGATCCTCATCACCTACAGATTCCTTGCTACTGGATCCTTTCGTCTTACCAGACCTGCGTTTCCCAGTCTTTTCGGATTTTATAGCGACACCCACACTTTCCGCTTTCACGAAATGGAGATCTTCTGCCTCTCGTTGAACCACCAGGCTTTCCAGGTTGTGCAAATAAGTCAGATCATTGGCAACAGTGTAGAACTCGGCATCTGGCTTGCTGGTGACCACATACAAGGCCTTGAGGTACTCCTGCACGTGCCAGACATGATCTCGGATATTCTTCACATCACCGTTTTTCAGCTTCTCTTCAGCTTCCAATGCCAATTTCTACACGCGCAAAATTTAACAAAATGAAAGAAGGGCTTAGAATGAATATTTCGAGGGCTGTCGGAGTTGGAAGCGATTTTTCATATTTTAGAGTGGGTGTATAAAAAAAAATAAACTAACCATGACTTAGCCATGACTGATGTCATGAGGCTTCATTATATTTCTCAAGGGTTAAAAAAAGGTTTTTTTATCAACTGCATGGTGAGAATTGAAACCTTCCAGTATAACAGCCAGAACTTTCTCTGCCCATGTCAAAAAGAGATGAAATGCAACTGGCTACAGGTAGAACAAAATTGAATTTTTTTGCTTGCATAATCATTATGTATATAATGCCGAGAGGATAAAGAGAAGAACAATCAAAAATACAAATTTTTAGCTGGCCTGTCAAATAATATTCAGCACCCCTTGACATGGATAGGAAACTGTCAGTGAGTGGAAAGTTTTCACTGATCATCATGCAGAAAATTTTTAAAACATTTCATAAAAAACCTGTAAACCTCAAAACATTGTGGGGTATTCCGATTTGCTTCTCTGTACGATCACATGTATTCTAACAATATTCGAGGTCGCGTCCAACTCGGCCAATCCTCGTAATTTTGGTCAAGGCTATGCTCAACAGAAAGCTTCTTCAAAATGCCTCTCGGTATCAAACGCTTCAGTATAAAGCAAAAATATTCCCACCTTCACATTCATAAACTGCAATACGAAAGTTTTCCACGCCATTTTGCACTGAGGGCATGACAACTTGAGCATATCCTCCACTTTTTCACCAGGCACTTGTGTTCGGCAATGAGGACACCTGCACAAATATCAAGTTCAAAAAATTTGAAGAAAATGAAGCGCTTGCAATCGATTCAACCAAGAAATTATAACACAATGTTTACTCAGATATAATTGGAGCCCGTTTCTTCCATATATTGAAGCCAACAAATAGGGTGGTACTTGTCCTGTATACATTTTTAGAAGGAAAATTGGGGAAACCAGTGCCCATCATGCGTGATATATGTCTGGTAATGAAAATAATTAAGAGGAAATGCAAGGCACTAAGTTTCCTTTTCCACGCAAAATAATGGTAGAATAAGAGATTTTCCTTTCAGTTGGGGACTCAAGTGGAACAGAAAAAAAGGGAAAAAGCATTAATACATGTATAACTGAGGAAGCAATGAACTGTGAGCATAGGTCTACTACAGCTGTGTAGACCAGTGTTTCCCAACGTTTTTGGACCCAAGCACTGGCAAACTACAGAATTTTTTTCTCTGGACCAGCAAATTTCAAAAAAAAAAAGTCTGCAGACTATTAGTGAAGTTTCGTAAAATTCTTGCAGCATTAAAAATTGCGCCATTGATAGGCTTCTTCATGGTTTGGATTTCAAAAGCTCCTGCTCTATTGCAAAAATTGAGATATAAGAATGCTTGAAGCAGCTATATCGTGAAATGTCTTCAAAACATTAGAGGAGGGGGCTTGAAAAAAGGCTTCTCAGAAAACAAAACTGATGTAATTAATTCACACCCCTGGAAATATTTATGAAATGTAATAACAAGAAAAGCCAAATTTCGTGTTTCAACAGATAATTTCAACTGCCATTGTCTATCCAAAATCCTAGATGAAGGTAAAATCTAGGATACCCTTGATGTAGATGATGTAGGTTTTCATCAATAATTCTGATAATTTTATTATGCTTATGACAATTTCCTGCAGATAAAAAAAAACTTCTGTGGACCAGTGCCAGTCTGCATACCATGGGTTTTGACTTTTGACACACTGGTACAGACTCTAGACTTATAGACAGTAACAAACATGAAAGACACACAATTAATAAAAAGGAACAAATAAATGCACACAAAAGCCTCAAGATTTCACAATTTACATTTGGTTTTCAGAAAAAAAAAACTTTGGTGAAGGTCAGACCACTTCATCACAAAGGAAGAACTGGGGCTTCAGTCTCAGTAAAAGGGTGTATGGTTTACTCCAGGAAGTAAGGGAATCTATATGAAATTGAGAAAAGCAACGCATACTTGAGCTTGGTCTCTATATCATCCAGCTGTGGCCAGTCACCAGCACAGGCCTCACACCCACAATTGAAGTAGTAGCCCTTGAGATAGTCTCGTCTAGTGTCTCGGTCTGAGCTGGCAAACACTTCACCATAGCTGATGGTGACATCCTCCCCCTCCTGGATCACACCGAATGAACGGAAAACAAGGTGAGACTTCACGAAGTAGTGAGACGCGTTCGGGTTGCACGAGTGGTTTGCCAAACTGCATGCTGAAAAGATGGCCATTCCTCGGTCGTCGGGTTCAACAAGGCCGTTCTTCTCTGACAGCAGCCTTTGATGGTACGTGAAGTGGCTGCAGTCGAATACCATCAGGTTCCGCAGCAGCAGCATGGCGATGTACACCTTGTCTTCCATCCTGGAATGATCAACTAATTTTTAGCAATACGGCGGGACAATAAAATACGAACGATTTGACTGCAGGGGACACTTGAAATTCAAAATATTTGAACCCAGAGCGTATAGAAAATTTTCGGAGATCAATAATATTTTCAAACATTTTGAGATACCGTAGTTGGAAACATTTTAGTTTCTAAAATTGTGTATAGTTATTGAATGAATTGAGCTATTTATTTTCATCACAAATTCATTTGAATTGACTGAGCTTCTCAATAAAAAAAAAGGAAATAATTTTCTGCTTTGGTTTTTCAGAGTTTCTCCCATCTTTTTTGCACATATAGCTAGACTATAGCTAGACTTATTCATGTTCTTAGCATCTTCATCTTTGTCTACTGCCAAACATCAGACTCTGTTTGCTTTTGTGGGGAATTTCCTGTGCGGGTGGGGGAACTGCGTCCCCCAGCTGGAATCCAGGAAAAATGGCCACAATTTTTTTCTACTTTTGCCTGAATCTGTGCTCAGGTGGATATGCACCAATGCGCAGGGAAACCCAAAAGCCAGATGCTGGCAATTGTTGTATAATGACAGGAAATCAACCCTATAAACCGGGTATTTTCTTCCACTCATGTGAGGGCAGTAAAAACGTTCAAAAAGATCCCTGAAAAGGCAGGAAATTGTTTCACTGCAGACAGCTGCAGGGTTTGGACTTCCTCCCAGATTTGGGAATCTATTTTCATGCGTGAAACTGCTTCCTGAATCTTTCCCAGGCTTCAGCACAGCTGCATGCAGCTTCACCAAAAAACATTCCTGGCTCCACCCCTGAAAGAATGGGTCTGAGTCCAGGGGAAAGCATGAGATGAACACACTTTAGTCTGAAACCCAGGGCAGAGAGGTTCTCCTCCCAAGCCTCCGGGTCTTTATTATTCTCAAACAGGCTCAAATATTTGCCCAAAACTGGGATTAAACTTTCAGAGTCTTCATCGAGTAAAATATTCGAGAGCCTTACCATAAAGACTTGAACTAAACTCCACTTTTGACCAAAAGGGGGAAAACCTTGAACTTGAGTAAAATCCTCAAAACTTGGAGGAAGTACAAAGGAAAATTCTTTCGTGTGAAATTCGCTAATGTGAAATTTACTCCTGTACTTCGTAAAAAGGGCTGTGTGATTTATTGCTCGAAGTGTGGAACCAGTTTTCACTTATTCCTGGCAGGTTACGCACCTGCCCATTCTTGTATAATTTATTTTCCATCTTGTAAAAAATCGGGCATACAAAACAAAACTCCACTTTTGTAAAAAAAAAAAAGATACTTGGTAAAAATTTGAGTAAGTACTTTCCTCTTCCAAAACTCTGGATAAAATTTGTACACTTTGTCATGACAAAGTTATTTCCTTCATGCTCAAGTTGAGAGAAAAGAATTCATACAATTTTCTGAGGACTTTATTCTTCATTTTGAATGAACAGGCGAACCAATTGCATTTGTTCCCATTGGATTCCAAGCAAAAATGTGATCCATCTCATGAATACTTCACCATGGACAAGGTCCAAACACCAGCAAATACGTACACATCTCAGGGCCCTACCCAGCAAAGAATGGGGCATTGGGCTGGCAAACGTTTTGACAATGGCATTGTCAACGCCATTGTAATGCTGTGGTCAGAATGGTGAGGATTGCTGACAACATACTGTATTCTCTTCCCAATCATCAGACATGAGTGAAACAATGTATAAAGATATCTTGAAAAAGGAGTTGAACTTGGATCAAAGGAACATCCCTGAAATTAAAAATATGCTCATACAGTACAACATTAATGTCAAAAGGAACTTTTGAAATGTACCCATGCAGTAATGTAAAAGAGTTTTTTCAGTTTAGTGCAACATCAGCAAAGACAGACAAAACATCTTAATTACTGAATTTTGTCATGATAATTGTGATGTTGGTAATTCTAGAAAATTACTAGCTGATCTTGCTGGTGGTAAAACTAAACCATTACTAATTGTATCATCTTACATCCCCGTGGTACATGTTACCATAGCTCTTTTGACAAACTCATAGCATTTCAATAAAAAAAATCATCAAATTTTCAAAGGTGTCATTCTTGCAGTAGAAATACATTGGTTTTCTTGCTCTGTTTGGTCTTGGATTTCTATGTCCATCATAAGACAGTGAAGACTCGAAAAAAGTTCAGTTACTTCTCTAAAGAGATCTTTTCTTTTCCTGTCATTCGGCTCCTTATAAGCCTTGTCGCCAGTTTTGATGGCACGTACAAGAGTCCAAATATTCTTTTGGACTTGTTTTTGTTGCAGGGCCCTTTTTTGGGCATCAACTTGGTTTGAGACGTGACTTTCCATCAAGTTGTTGCTCTCTGTTAGAGAGTTTTCTGAGATTTGGGATGGCTTACTTGTGGCACTTGATGTGTCCATCAGGACGTTGTTTTTGTCTTCATTTCTGATGATTTGAGGGATTTCTTGCAAGTTGGGTTGCTCCCCCGTCAAATTTTGCAGAGATCTTCTTAACCTTGTGTTGATTGGGACTTTGGTTAGGTCTTCTTGATTGACCGTGTCCCTTTGGGCCGGCCTTCCTGGCCGTCTTCCCGCTTGCCTCTTTTCAGGCATCATCAAATTTGAAATGGTTTCACTTGTAACTCACTTTTCACTTCAATTTTAACTTTGTCAGAGGTGTGAAAATAAAAACCATGCTCTGCTACCAATTTTGTGGTGAAATTGAGGTATGAAAAGTTAGTTTTTACAGATAGAATAAACAAGAACACATTATCAGCTGGGTTGTGGCCGGGGTTTTTACACCCAGATTTTGAATCATTTATGTTCTTTCAAATGTACAATTCTTTCTGTACAAATATACAACTTTTGAATTTTCTTCAACTTTGAGGTTTGAATCTTGGTGATATTCATTTCTTGAGTTCCTTGTCGAGAAGAGGTTGGATGTAGAGTGTCTTTGTCATAGAAATTTCTGTCCTTTTAACGTTTCAAGCTTCCGGAAAAAACGGGGGAACCAAGGGTTCTGTTTCTTGAGGGAAGTGTCCCATTAGGGGGTTGAGCAAATGGTCATCTTCCGCTGAATTTTGGCACAGCCTGATCAATGGGCCTCAGCTTCTTAATGAATAACAGACCTTGGCGGCGGCCGAGCTTGCCGTTGAGGTCAAACTCTTTGTTCAGCAATTTTCTTTGAGTCGGTGTTTTTGACGGATTTAGCCATTTGTTTTGGCCTTTTTGTAAAGAACGCTTTGAGCGTATTAAATTCGGCAGGGACTTGGGTCTTTGCAACGTTTTGAGTTTCCTTCCTAAAAAGAGGAACGTGAGAAATCTGATCTACCAATTTTCTCAGGCCATGGAGAAATGGTTTTTCCTCCTGAAGGAAATGGTGAATTTCCCTGGAAGGACAATAATTCTTTTGTGAAGTTCGACATTTTGCGAACATATACAGCTCNAAATTACTTGGCGCAAAAAGCATTGCCATAAAAGTTGTTATCCTTCTGAAGGATACGTCAGGAAAAACGAGGAGTTGAGGACATTCTCAAACCTTCATTTGCAGCTGTTGATCCCCTCTTTCTCTTTCTCCGACAAACGTCACTATTGTTTCCATGCGCGCGGCCATTTTTCACCCCTGCTGCCCTCTATGGTAAACATTTTATTTTCATCTGCTGCTTTGTCTGCCTGCCGCTTCAGTGGCCATGCAGACGAAGCGGCGGGTTGATCAGATGCAGCAGGGGTGAGATTTTTCTTTCAAATTTCCCGAAATCAGTTTTATCTCTGCCAGCGTCTATCATTACTGAAGGTAAGTTGTGGAACATGATTTGAACAATTTTCAGGGAATAAACAAGCGTAGCAAGCGTGTGAAATCATTCTTCAACTCTTTTACTGAAGTAACAATTTGAAGGGTTTGAAACAGTACAATCTTACTAGGGCAAATTGTTCAATCAACTAAACCTAATCTGAGAGCAGGTTGAGCACCTTGTGCTCTAAATTGGGTTCAGTAATTGCTGTATGCTGTAATTTGTTTTATTGATATTTTGTTTTGCTGAAGAGGGAAATAAGTGTACATCTGTATCAGTTGTGCAGTTTCACTTTATGGGATGCCTTTTCATTTCTTTTAATATCCATGTTCAGCTTGTTTATTCTCTATTTTTCATTCTGACATAAAGAACGTGTTCGGATGAATGTGGGTACAGAGGGGCCTGGATGTGGGAACATTGTTTGAACCTCGTGAATGCTGAAAAGTGGATCATAAAGCTTGCTGTTCATTCCAACTTAAATAGTAATCGAAAATGGTAGATTACTACAAGTGGACTCTCTTCAAAACAAAATTGATAGGATATACTCAAATGGACGTATTTTATAGGACATACACCAAATTCAAAAGGAACTACAGAACAGTATATACAGTAGATCACTACAGTTGAACTCTATAACAGCATTGAGATGACCAGGAAAAAAAATCATAATTGTAGAGAATCCCGATAAAAAGATGCGTTGGGAAATTCATTATTGATCCAGGCGAATAATTGATCATTACTTTGCGCAGAGAAAATCGTTACAGGCAAGACTTTTGCAGGGAGATGTTCATCTGAATAATAATTTAGCCCTGAAAACACTGGAGAAGTCAGACTATAGACGCCGAAGCGTCACGTCCAAAAATGACGGAAAATACCTCGGGTCTTTGCCGAAATATTCCGCAGATTCCAGCAACTTGGTGAAGTACAAGGCAGTGATCATGTTCTCTCGAATTTCATCAGCCGACTTCTGATCAGCGTGGTCAGTCAGACAAAACACGTTAATGTACTCGTTTGCTTGCATGAACCCCAACGGCATCACTCGTGTCTGCAAATCAAACCCCAGCTGTTCTTATGAACCAATTCAATTTTTTTTTCTTTATACAGCAAGGAACCGTTATTGCACGAAAAAAAATTAAAAGAAAAAACACGGCTGTTCCATGCATCACTCACCGACGGATCGAGCATTCGACTGATGTCTTTCTTCCTCTGCAAAAAGTAATCCAGCGGGTGGCACGTAATCATGCGGTACGCCAAATAGCCGCCGAGCGGAACGGCAAACTGTGCCAAGTTCCTCATGTGTCCGCACTCGATATCGTGAAACTGCTTGGCCTTTCGAATGCACGTGTCAGAGCAAAAAATCACCTGCGACATTTCCAAAAATTCGAAGCAAAAAATATATTCACCAAAGACGATTCTAAAACCGAGAAAAAATAGATGAGTTTGCCCACCGCTGCGCAGTCTTGGCATGGAACCCCATTCTGGACCTCGTCCCCACAATACTGACAATTGCTGGCCCAGCGATCAGCGAACAGGACTGAAGCATATGGCTTCTCCACCAGCAGAATTTCGCCTGCGGGGACCCAAAAAAAATTGTGCCTTATACAAAATGTAAACTGAACCCAGAAGCCCGTTATACAGTCCTTCAAAAAAAACTACTTGTGGAATTATTATTGGCACTATTGGTACTGCGAAATTCGAAGCGATTTTTTTTTCGAATCAGAAGTTTTGAATTGAAACGGGAACGTTAAAGCAATTCACTTGAAAATCACAACACTATTCCAAACAAGAAACTTACAGTACATCACGCACTTTTTTTTTCAATGAATTCTGGCAAAAAAGGAGGTGCGCGTCATATTAGTGGGGTACAATTTGAAACTGTTCTCCCACTTTCAAAAAATTCCCAGAAATCTCCATATAATTAATCATGCTGTATCAATAATTGTATAAACAAAACAAAATCGTCATCGGAAGCAACTTGGATTTTAACCTCAGACAATTTTTCAGAAAGATAGGAATTTTTAGAACTGAGAACTAAAAAGCGCGTTTTCAGCGGGGATAATATTTTTCCCAAATTAATCCCAATTAATAACTATTAAGGAGTGCGTCTTCATACGCATCATGAGGAATCTGAAGATTTGGTACTCTAAATACAGTGAGACCCCAAGATGCGAATGTAATTGGTGCAGCAAGAGTGTCCCCAAGTCAAAATGTCCCTAAGTTGAGTCTTGTTTTCCCATAGACCTACACTATATAATTTTCAATTGGTGTTTAATAGAAGGAATATTATTCAGAATTCCCTGAAAAAAATTTTTGGCCACTTTAATTTGAAGTAGTGAATACATTTTCAACTCAATAAGAACATTTGAAGCATTGAATAATGTATCTCTGTACTGTACACTGCAATTTTTGAATCTGCAAAAAAAACATTCAAGTGAAAAACAAGTAGAAGTCCCTCTGTGCTGGAGGTAATTTTTTTAATTAGCTAAATGGATGGTAATTTGGTGAGAAAAATGCTCAAGAACTTTTCTTACATAAATTTTAGGGTTCGAAATATATCTTTCTTGTTATTTGGCCTGGAATATATTTGCACTTCAACACAAAATGTCCCTATGTTGAGTCAGTGTCCTCATGTCGGGCCTTACTTATTGAGTTTTTCTAGGAAAATAAGTGTCCCTATGTTGAATTGTCCGCAGGTCAAGGTGTCCGCTTGTGGGGGTCTCACTGTATGGTAAATGATTTGTAAATACGAAGCTCCGGAATGGAAAACGGAATCCTGAATAGACATTCTTTTCAGGAGAATCTTCCAGTCAAACTGCACAGAATGCTTTGAGTCTCACCGGGTTGGATTTGCCGGGCGGCAACGTAGTAACGACCGCGATTGGGTTTGTATTTGAGGACAATAGCATCCGAAGCACCGGAAATGAGCATGTTTTCTTTTCCATCCGGTCGGAATATGATGTCATCCGGATGCGTTTCGGCTTCAGCCAAGGGCTCGTTCAATGGACGTCCGGAACGATCATATCCAAACTTCCCCACTGGCTTCACTTCTTTCTGCAACAGAGAAACACATGGATTTCAGCAAATATCAGAGAATAATGTGTGTGGCATAATAATCGAGGCAGATTAAAAAGGACGTCAAAACAGTGCGTCATATTGATGAAAATTCGATGTTACAAGGGAATTGATATGAAATCTAAGCCTCAATGAGAAAACATGCCATTTACTTGTTTAAAATACAGTACTTCATTACCCAAAACAAGCATAATTGAGGCTGATGAAGTAGGGAATGAAATAAAAATGGCAAAACACGTTAAATATATCCAGATTTATCGTTGCAGTGCAAATGAAATAAGTTTTTCTTGCTTTTTTCAGATCGCTCTATTAGTCTATTCTCTACTCCTTCCGAAAAAAAAATTTTTGGATGAAATATTTCAAGCACTGAGCAGACCTGAGCAGAAATTTAAACCTTTTTTTTACACCAAGTTGCTTCATTGTGTAATCCTCCCACAAATTCAAAAAGTGTTTTGGGGGGTGAGGTGTTTTCCACGAGGAATGAAGACCTCAACTGTTTCGACTATCATGTCATACCGTCTTAGTTCTTTCCTTTTCTGGCAGGTAAAACTTCTTGTCAGAAAAATATCCTCTCATCTTCGAGAAACATTGGTAATTTTTACTTCACTACAACAATCAAAATACAGATGGAGTCGCTCTTCGACAATTTTCTTTATAAACCTCATTTTATTTGCTCCTACAGGATTTTTGACACTTGTTACAGGATCTATCTCTACAGAGAAATTCTCTCTAAAGCAATTATTTATGGTTCCTTGAACTTTCTTGCAGAGAGAGACCACTGTTGCAGAAATAAATTAATTTGTGCATTGATGAATTAGGCTTTTGAAGTCACTGTTTGCAACAGAAACTTGTGCATCCGTGAGATATTTTGCAGATTCTTACATCAAAAGAAAGAGTTAGGTTCAAAAAAATGTAAGTACAGTATCTCTAGATCCATTAGTCAGAGCAACTTTTATATGATGAGAGAAAAGTTCAACATCTTCAACTTCAATTCTGAAGCTTTTGGAGTTTTTATGTCAAAATTGGCAAATTATGCAAATTGGACTTTCATGCTTTGCAAGTCGCACCATACACAAAAAAAGCATTATTTCTTTCCTGATTCTATTTCGTTTGAAAACTTTTCTTTTGGTAATGTAAATGTTATTTTTTGATTGTGTGTGATAATTATTTCATGACACCTGTCATCAGATATGATAATAAGTCATCTTTTAACATCCAAGGAATGAGGATGCTCCAACTTCCTTTATTTTTGCAACCATGAATGTTGATTTGCCCCTCAAATTGAGATCCCTTGGAGGCTGGGTGATCACCTCAACCCTCAGATATGTCTCTTGCATCAAGAATGTGCTTTTTGCAGCTTAAAATCTGTAGTTGGCAACGAAATAAATAAATACAAATATGCTTTCAATTCGAGGGACACGCATTCACAGAAAATTTGTTGTTCATGAAGAGCAAAAGAGCATTTGTTCTATTGTTCCAAAAGAGCAAGTGCTGTTGAATATTCAGGTTTTTGAGTATCATGAGCTCAAGTGTATAGTATGCCTAAAAAAAAAAAGATAATTAAGGGTGTAAAGAAAAAGGTAACAACTGACCTTGAGGTCCTTGATGTCTCGATCTGTGTCTTCATTCACCAGCATTTCTCGCAAGCTCCCCACAATTCCCGACGGCGCAATGTTGTGCAAAACTTTGAACTTTTGCTTGATGAGCCATGCTTTCATCGACTTTGGAATCTGTAGTGCAAAAACAATTTAGACGATGAAAAACTGAGCACTAAAATGTATTGTACTGTATATCAAAATTATTGCTTCCACATAATTGCTCAATCTAATTTCATTTAAAAATTTAATAAGCTGCTCAAATAAATTAAATTCAGAAATATGATACACCACCTTGCATTTAAGTGCCCTGTCAACGTCCTCAAGACATCTTTGCCGGTTTTCAGACGTAAAATGCACTTTAGAACGCGCAGCATACACAGAGCCCAGCAGCTCACTTTTTGGCTTGCAATTCCTCACTGCTTCGCGAAACAGATCGAACACCCTTGAAAAAATCAAAATAATTCCCATCAACACCTTCATTTCAATTTCAGCAGAAATCGCTGTTGGATCGAAAAGAAACCCGTATATCCCGGGTTTTTGTGCGTTGTGGCTTTTTTAATATTTTCTCCTGAACGATGTTAATGTGGGGGATGCTCATAAAGGGGTTCCGCACACCAGTTACTAATTGATCGGCTGAATATGAGAGACCCTTGTGGTTGTCCATGTTTTACCAGGGATTCGGTTCTTTTTCGTCTTTGGGAATGTCAGAGAAAGTAGGTTGAATCATTCCTTTCCCAGGCGTATGGTCAAGGCATGATTCCATCAGGACTCTTTCGAAAAAGCCCTCACTCTAACTACAACCCTTAAACAGATGATCACTTACATAAAAAGACATTTATACAACAGGGTACACTCAAGAAAAGGGCCTTCTGTTACAACCTGATCAATTTCAGTGGCTGAATTGCAAAAAGATAAGGTTCTTCTGGTACAAACTATTATAGTATATACAATACCTGAATACCACATGCATATTTTTCTCAAAATTGGGAGGAAAATAATGGGTGTGCATCATTTGCTGGCAGCAATGAAATACTTTAAAAAAAAGATTACAAGCGTAGGTATGCATCACATTTTCATATAATGGGAAATTATCAACTAGAACTTTCTTAAAATCAAAAGAATTGAAAATGTATTGAATTCAGGTTGAATTATTTTTCCGATTTAAATCCGGGTGTCCGTTGTTCTTGAAATATTGTTTTTTTTTTCTATAGTCACCTAGAATGGGGTGTCCAATTGACTATACTGTATAGGGGATTGGATCTAATCAATTTTTGAGGGTAAAAAATGAGGGTGCGTGGTTCTTGAGTAAATATGGTACTCGGTAACAAAATTTCTTTTTTCAGTCAACAAAAAATGGGTTAAACTTGTCTAGGTTGATTTCACTAAGGTGGAAGTCGTACTCAAGTTTGCTGTCCGGAACCAGAAAGCAAGGCAATAATTTAATGTAATCATAATCCTCCTGCATCCCATCGTGCAAAAACCTAGTGCTTTGTTCCTTGGCCTCAGAACCAAAGAACAAGTGACCAAAAAACAGGGTTCCAAAGGACTTGGAACATGCACAGAATCACCTTTCACTTCAAAGAGGACAACTTTCCCCCTTCCTACAAAAAATGAACCACACCCAAGAACACACTCCACCATCTAACTTTGAATGGTACTAAGCTCAAAACCATGCACTGAATCCTACCAAAAACCTTGTCTAAGCTTATACCTGTGTTGTCTGGGAGTATTTTTGTGTGAGTCCCAAAATTCTCCAAGTTGAATAATGTTGTGTTGTGAAAAAAAAACCAAAATTATTTTTGAGCATCTTTGATTGTTGTGTTTTACTTTGAATTTTAATCACTTTCTTTGTTAACCCTCAGATGGCAGAGAGTTCTTTTCAATTACATGGTGGAGTTGGGATATTTTCAAAGGATGGGGCATTTAAGTTTGATCCAAGTTCACTGAAATGCCTCCAGGTTGAGAAGGCCTACATTGGGAAAATCTGGGAGGCAAATTTTCCTTTGTTTTCAGGAATTTTTCATATTGATCCTGTGCCAGGAATGCAGGAAAAAACACTACACAGTGAGGGATTTTCTTTCATTCAAAACTTTCTACAGGATTATAAAAAAATATTGCACTTTTCCCAACGTAGGCCTTGGTACAAAGGTGGGATTTTCATGATTTCCACCAACACTCAGTGGCACAAAATTTTGCAAAAACCTCCTAACTTTACTGCACAAGGGTTGAGGAACTGCTTAATTCCCAACAGTTGCTTAGTATGATACTCAGGTGATGAATTTCCCATGTTGATCCAATTCCAGGAATGCAGGAAAAAACACCATGCACACAGTGAGGGATTATTTTTCATTCAAAATTTTCTGCAGGATTAAAAAAAATATTGCACTTTTCTCAACTTAGGCCTTGGAAAAAAGGTAGGATTTTAATGATTTCCACCAACACTCAGCGGCACAACATTTTACAAAAACCGCCTAACTTTACTGCACAAGGGTTAAGGAACTGCTGCTCAATCCCCAACAGTTGCTTAGTAATTATGCAGTACATCTACCTGATTGGCCATAAAAGGAATAAAAAAATCAGAAAAATCAGCACTCGCCTGGAGTCGGTCGTGTTAATCACATACATCTTGGTCGCATTAAGGTTCTGCCTGGCAATGCTCTCGTCCTTGGCCACTCGCTGCGAGACCACGTTCAGCTTCAGCAGGAAATTCTGCCCACTCATCACGTCCCTGAGGGCGGCACTCAGCCTCGAGTCCCGCTTCAACGCCGCCTCCAACTCAGTCACCGGGAAATCCTCGCGGAAACTCGCGTAATCCTCAGCAATGGCAAACGCGTCCTCAGCTCCCTTCTCACCTCTGTGAACAGAAGCAGCACCGGGCTGATGAATCGCAGTCACAGTCCGATGATGCGGAACAGATGACGACGACGACGGATCCGTGCCGATTGCCAACGACGATGACGCGTCTCGATTCATTAATCTCGACGACGGCATCAGAGAAGACACTGCTCGTGTTCCACTACTGTTATTGTTGCCAGTTATGGGCAAGACAAAGTTTGCCAAACTGCGCAAGGACAGACGAGGGATCATCGGAGACGAGCGACGACGATGCGCGTGTTTGGTGTCAGAGGAAGCACGGCTTATGGAATTTGATGCTGATGAGCCTTTGGCACTTGGCTCAGATTTGCTCTGCTTCGAGTTATCCATGGCGGATTGGGCACAGATGAAAACTCGAAGTGATTCATTCCCCCCTTTAGTTGATTCAGTCGATAATGGACCGAGTCTCCGCGTAAGGTGGACTAAGTTAAACTTTAAAGGAACAAAAAACCTGGTGGCCCTGAACCCTTCAATAGTCTTCATCGCAATCAATACATGTGTGGTAGATCCGTTTTCGGAGAAAATCTGTGGAACAAACTGCATTTATAACTTGTTTACAACAACAAAATTTCAATGCAGAGTACATCATGAGCCGTTGAGGAACCACAATGTTTTTTGTACTGGTTGATCCGGACTGGGTCCATAGGTGACAAGTAAAAATGCCTTTTATGCTCTATTGTCATTCCTTTTGAACATCAGTATGGAAAGACCCAAAGAAAAAAAATCAATTTTGAAACATTCCTTATGTCAGAACATCTCCATGGTGGAGCACATTTTGCCAGAGACGTCAATAGGAACTTCTTCAATTGGTTTTCCATTTGATTGCAAATTAGGATTAAATCACGCCAAATTTTAAAGAATTGCTTAGACACCGATTATTACTGTGCAGCAGAAAATCACACAGAATCTGACCTTTTGTTATCGAAAGGACCACAAAAAAGCTAAGAAAAAGTACAAGTCTTGATATACTGTGCACACATGACATTTGAGGAAACTTGATAAAATCAATTTGTAGTTTTTCCAAATATTATAGTAGCTCAACATTTCAGAGTTTCCTTGTAAAATTGTTGAAAAGCATTTTTCCAGGTACGTTGCGAAATTTTGGCTTGACTAGAGGTCACCAAAATACAGCCTTGATGATTGGGTAGCCAAATTCCATGAAAATCTGGAAAAGTTGAAACATATTTTCTTCAAACCCCTCAATGCTTTTCCTATGTCAGGATCTCAGGAATGCCGGAAAAATGACACTTAGCAGTGAACAATTTGCCAAGCAAACATTTTCAGGGAGAAGATAAAAAATAATAATGGGACTTTTCCAGACTTCAGCTCTCACAATCTCTATAGATGAGACAGATTTTTTTTTAATTATTTCTCGGCACAATATTTGGCAATTTCTCTCAGGTCCACCAGAGAAGGGTTAAATGACGTTTCAAGCCTGTAACAATGCTCAGAAATGATGGGAGCAAGGAAGAGTGCTGCTCGTTCCGATCCCATCACCTCTCACAAAAACGAAATATAATTCCAAATTTCGCAAAAAACATGACAAGACACCAACAAAAATACTGTACTCACAGGCGCCTGGCAATGGTGTCCATCATCACAACCCTCATGACGTGCGACTGGGCCATCAAGAGGTCCTTGCAGGGTTTCACAAACAATGGCTTCATCCTCAACTGCAACTCTTGAAATGTGCGTAGCAAAGAGCGAGTAGTTTCTGGTCGTGTTCTCGGCTTCCTCGACATGCCAGCAATCTGATCCTCGGCCAAATTCTTGAGGGCTACAATGGCTTCGATCTCAGGCAAGAGTGTTCTACCACAGGTTCCACAGACGGGTTCTGTGAGGAGCTCAAACTGTGATTGACAACCCGGGCACGCAACAATTCTTGGCCGGTTCCAGTCAGTGAGTCGCGGCCAGTTTTCCACGCAGGCGAGGCAGCGGCAGACGTAGTTGAATTTTTCCAGTAGGAAACGGGATCTATCTTCCAGGTTATGGTTGTGGGAAAGTACCCCAAAAGATACCTGCGGCAGTGGAAGGATGTTTGTTTTAGTTCAAAGTTTCAGTTTTGTACCTTTTTTGAGCAAAACATTTTATATGGTTCATTCCCTGTTTTAAAATAGCCTGCAAAAGTAACTGTAGCAAAAGTAAGCCTGCTATATACAGCAGAAGTATGTTGAAAAAAAGCAGCAAATTCTTCAAGAAAAGTATAGTTGTATGAGTCACAAAATTGGTATCCATCCAATTAGATAGTTTGATAAACAAGCTACCGCATTTACTCAAGTACCACGCGCACCATTTTTCCCAAATTTCAGAAGAAAAAAGGGGGTGCGCATCATAAGCGGGTACAAAATTTTCAAGAAGTTTTAGGAAGTTATGTGTGCATTATACTTAATTATAATGGAGAAATTTGGAACAAATATACTGTAACAAAAAACATTTTTGTACTGAAAAATTTGAAAATTGATCAGATTTTTGTTCCATTCATGCCTAAAGTCAAATTTTTTGTTTTTAATTTGAAATTATATGGTTTTAGATTTGCTAAAAATTGGGATGCGCGTATTGCGTCTTACTTGGGGATAAGATTTTTGAAAAATGTTCAACTGAAAAACCCCTTGCACGCCTTATACTCAAGGGTGCATGGTACTCAAGTAAATACAATATATTTGCTACTAGTTAGCATTCACAAGGTTCAAAAATGTTATCCCCATCCAAGCATCCGAACTACTCTCCCAACCCCAAAACGCATCAATTCAGAAACGCATTCCAGAAAATCAGGACAGAAAAATAAAAAAATGATGTGTATTAAAGAAACTACCATCACAGAACAGAGTAATCTATTCCACAAGTATCACAACACATTTTAATTAGAGTTTACTTACGAAAAAATTTGATTCTTGCCTTATAAAACAAGATTAACTTAAAAGAACAGTACATTAACAAAGCCTGATGGACAAGATTGTAAAAGCACCATCTATTGTAAAACCTTAGATGCAGACGTGATTGTTGCAATAAGGACCTTGTCCATAATGGGAATACATTATTTCTGTCGGTTCTCCTGTAGATGAATTGTTGAGAAAATTGAATAAAATAGTTGTTCTCAAATTCAAAGTACACAAATTGTATGTGCAGAAGAAAACCACACAGAATTTGATCTTTTGGCATCATATGAATTTCAAGAAGCTAAAATCACAAAACAATAGTCTTGCTATACTAAGCACACATGACAGAAAAAATGAGAAAATAAGCACAAAATTAGTCTGTGTTGGATCATGAATTACAGCAATTATGTGTAGTAATGAAATGTATTTTTAGCAGTCATAAATGGAAGTAACCGAAAGTACATCTTTATGCCTCTGGCATCTATTTGAAAAATTGCCCCTGTCCCCCAGCATTTATTGGAGACTGGCATTTATTTTAAAAAATTATTGCAGCTAAGTCAGAAATTTCCAATGCAAAAGCTCATTGAATTAGTTCTGTAGAAATTTATAAAAAATAAAAATGATTTTCAGTAAAAAAGTGCTCCAGAGTGGCATCTTTCTTCAGAATTTCAAGTAATGGAACTTCATTTCAATTCAAAGGGATTACTTTTAACTCAAGGACACAGGAAGACACAAATCCCTCTGTTTTATCCCCAATTTTACCCTGTGTTGGAAGATATACAGTTGCTCAATTTCTTAAAAAATTAATAAAATTGAAAAATACAATGTGTAATTCTTCCAGAAATCTTGGAAAAAGGTCTGCATATATATAGTTACTGTCTGGATGTCTGGTGCAGGCTGTTTTCAGTCCCAAGTGTCCCCATGTCTAATCGTCCTTATGTTGTTGGATACACCGTATTTCGGGGTCTTACTGTGCTTTTCTGCATTAATTTTGCAAAAAACGGTTGACGTTCTACTTGGGTGAATACAGTATGCTGTCACCTTGATGAGAGTGCCAGCTGAGATGACGTCAACAGCGCGGACGAGGATCTTGCCAGCAACAAAGGCCTGCACAGCATTGGGCGCACATGACTGGAACGCCGCCCCAAGCACCCAGGAAATGCATTCGCCGACCCGAACGAGCTTCACGCCGAGGCGGTCACCAGCACCAGGTTCGGCGCCATACGACACCAATGGATGCGTCGCCTGTTGTGACGCCAGCAAAATGTGCCACAGGGTAGATGCTGCTTTGGCCACTTGGTCGTTTTCACTTGACGGAGAATCGCCACGTGTCAGCAGTTTGGCAGTGAACAGCACCGACATGGCCTGGAACCAAAACTCGTCTTTTTTGTCACATTTAGCGAGGGAGACCTTCGTGTCCAGCATTATTGGCAACAGTTCATGCAGGTCTTTCTGATGGTACACGGGACACCTTGAAGGGTCGCCTTTAGTGTCATGATCATCGCCACTTGCAAAATCACGTTTCCTTTGCCCCTGAAACATGCCAATTTCCATTAGTTCATCACATCTTTAAAAAAAAATGTTCAAATCACATTTAACCAGTATGGTTATCATCATGCCTCAGCCTGATTAAGCCAAGAAATGCATCCTTGTGTCAAATACATTCTATTTTTTCATCAAAAAAAAAAGAGGAAACATCTTGGGCTCCAATTATAAATTTGTACATCTTTTGAGTGAGATATGTGCTTCTTTAGGTTGCAATCTGAGAAATTTCATCATGCACAAAAGTTTCATCTGGCACTGGAAGTATTTTGCTGTCTATGAAAACTGGTTTGATCATAAACTTCTGGGTGACTTTAATGGCTGATTGTGTTGTGTGATTTTTTTTCTTTCATGATCTCTGACACAGAAAATATGGTAAAGTATTTGAAAAAATCATAACAAGGAGAACGCTTATGATATCTTCCTTGCAGAGGGAATAAAAATATGTAAAGTCTAATCTTTAGATTGAAGTGCTATGAGGCTGCATTACTGCCTGAGTGCTCTGATGTTCCTTGAATGTAAATAGATATTTTTAATCCATCAACAGCAACAGCCTCTTTTCCACCCTCCAGGAAAGTACAAAATTTTTTTGTCCACAGGCGCGTTTCAGTTTGACCCAAGGTCAATAAAATGTGCCTGGGTTGACAAGGCTTGAGTCAGGAAAAATCCAGTTAGGGTGAATCCTTCTGTTTTCAAACATCTCTAATGCTAATCCTATGATAGGAATGCAGAAAAAGCACCAGCAGGCAGTGAATAAATATTTTTCCCAAAAAATATTCTGCAGGACTATAAAAATACTGGACTTTTTTCAAAGTAGACCTTTGAACAAAATACAATTTTTTTTTAATTTTCAGTGATCATGGGCACAACATTATTCAAAAATATCCTGACTTTGCCGCAAAAGGATTTAGCAGTTAAATCTGCAATAACTAACCAATCCAGGACAGGACTTGTCAGCCAGTGAAAGGAACCATCTCAGGGCCAAAAGAACTCTGTGATCCAGAACATCCACCTCCAGGGCATCCAGCAAGCCGCACTCCCTGCCATGAAACGATTTGGTCCCAGCATCTCGACAAGCCTCTGAGCAAAACACCACCTGTCAATGAATATTTAATTAATAAACATCACAACAAAATCCTCATTTTTTCTATTTCCTTCGTAAGGGAGGGGAAGAAAGATGAAGATAACAAAATTTTTCCAATTATCATTCATAGGATTCAAAACATCCCCCCCCCCCCTCTCACCAAAAATCCATTGAACACATTCTGATCTTTCAAAACTTATACAATACATAGTCAACGACGGAAAATATACGAGTACATCAGCGAATTCAAATGCATGAATCTTGAATTTCCATATAATTATTACTTTTTCTAACCTCGCTTATATACGTTTAGAACTCGTCAGACATCTTTTACATGCAACATCGATGACGGAAAATAAAAATCGACTGCCAATAATAATATTGCGCCCTTATACCAAGAATGCTGTGTCATCAATTTAGCGCTTCGCCCCGAGTCACCGCGTAAAAGGCTGAGAACTATAAAGAGGAACCGAGCCATGCTGCAAAAAGCCTCCCAAAATTCGAGCAAAAATAAGATCGACGAGCAAATCTCAACACAAGAGCGTGTTGGCACGAAACAAACAACAACAAAAAGAAGCGAGACTAATCGACAAACACGAGCAACTGCGACCCCAAACAACAGCCAAAAAACAAAAAAATGACAGACAAGAAAATCATCAAAATGGGTCATTTAAAAAGTCAGTCTCGGAGGGCTTGTCGACGTTGCCCATGGAGTGCAGCCTGGATGAGGTAGAGCTTGTTGAGCTGCTGCAAAGCAAAGGCCGTGTGCTTGTTGGGACTCCGGAAGAGGGCCTCTGAGCAGAGTCCGATCTTGTGGTAGACGTCGATGGCGCAGGAAACGGATGCGGGCTCCAGGGTTTGCGAGAGGTAAGCAGCAGCGTCTTGGAGCTCCTTCAGGCTCGTCAGCGCCTCAGACACGTCTTGTCCGCATCGCTCGCACTTCATCTGGAATTTGTGAAACACAAGATTTTTTTTCATGCTTGAACAAAACTATTCAATTGATTCTCCAATTCATCCAAAATAATCAGGAATAAATGCATGGAAAAATAATCATTAAAATACGTTCCTTCACCGCACTTATCTGAAATTAATGAAAAATATGATTTCCTCTGCTTCAACATAAGGACTTAATTGGTTCGCAAGAAATTCGTCAAAAATAATTAGGAATGAATTCATGAACAAATTATTAAAATGCGTTTCTTCATCGCACTTCACCTGGAAGTTGTGTCACGAGATTTTTTGCCAGCTTGAACAAAAGTATTCAACTGGTTCTCCAGCAGTACATCCAAAATAATCAGGAATAAATCCATGGAAAAATCTTTATCAAAATTCGTTTCTCCATCGCACTTCATCTGAAAATTTCTGAAAAATGTGATTTCCTCTGCTTCAAAAAATGTAATTAATTGGTTCACCAGAGGCTAATCAAAAATAATAAGGAATTAGTACATTAAAAATTATGCAAAAACGTTTTTCCATCGCACTTCATTCGAAATTTCAGAAACGTGATTTTTTCTGCTTCAACAAAAGTATTCAATTGGTTCTCCAGTTCATAAAAAATATGAATAAATCCATAAAAATTTAATTAACTGCGTTTCTCCATCGCACCTCATCTGGCATTAGTGAAACAAGAGATTCTTCACGCTTCCAAGAAACTTACTCGATTGCCTCTCTGGTTCATCAAAAATTATAAATAAATCCCATAAAATTGAATTAAAGGCTTTTCTCAGGTACACTTCATCTGAAATTCGTGGAACATGTCATTTTTCTGTTCTCTACTTCAACAAAATTATTTAATTGGTTCTCCAGCTCATCAAAAATTAAAATAAATCCCCAAAAATTGAATAAAATGCTCCTCTCAAGTACACTTCATCTAAAATTTTGGGAGCAGAACATTTTTCCTGCTTCAACAAACTTATATCAAAAATTAGATTTGATTAAAATGCTCTTCACAAGAGAACTTCATCTGGAATTTTTTAAACACGTGATTTTATCTGCTTTGTCAACAAAAGTACTCAATTGGTTCTCAAGTTCATCAAAAATTAGAAATAAATCCCAAAAACATTGAACAAAATGCGTTTCTAAACTAACAAAACATGACTGTGAGGAAGAAAACCATTCTCAGCCTGATCTTTTGGCCTCAAAAGGACCCAAAAAGCAAAGAAAAAGTACAAGTATTTTCTACACTGTGAACGTACAGCTGATGCATGGAGAATACTCTGGAAAAGGAGGCAAAAAATCGTGAATTTGAGTGAATTCATAATGAAACTCATTCTTTCTGAATATAAATAAATACCTTCATTTTTTAAAATAAATATCGAAATTTTGAAAAACCAAATCTTTAAATTATTTTTTAAATGTTGGAGAAGTCTCTGTGTTTCTCAAGACCTTGTCTGCATGCAGACATCAAGGAAATTATTTAAATTTTCAAGTGTCCCTAAATTAAATTGTCAATATGTCAGCAGTGAGTCTGCATCACAAAAGGTATATTAGGCCTGCTGGTACACATTTGTACTATAGTCTAAGAGGCCTGAATGCCCTCTGCAAGGGGTGTCCCCCATGAGCTGTTCCTCCCAAAAGGTTCAGATGGGTTCTGAGGATGGGGGATCCTAGTATCTACATATGGGTCATTAATTGAAATGAAGAGAATTAGGTAGGGTGTAGAAACGGAGGTTATATTGTTCCCACCTGGAACAACCCTTGCATATCCCTTGGGCGGGAATGTCAAACTTTTTCCGCAAAATTTGGTGTCAGTAAGAGAAGCTTTAAAAAAATTTCAACAGTGCATCCAGGGCGAAGTTGGGAAAAATCCTGGTGTATTTTTTAAATACTGCAGAAAAATTTTGCCCAAAAATGAAAAAAGCCATCTCCAAGCATGAGCTTTTTTTCATTTCATCCCTAGGTTAGTTTTATTAATTTCAGCTTCTTGGCCCTTTCATTTTGGGCACCAGCAGAAGGGTTCCCATTTAGAGGCCACAAAAGAGTAGCGGAAAAAGTCCGACTTCGGGAAATCACAACAAGACATTTTTGCCGGACAAAATCCGACTTTGCCCTAGGCCACCTGTCATGGCCTTTAATAAAATTTGAACCTGGGCCCACCCCAGAAAATCCGTACTTCGTCCCGCAATAGGAAAGAACCTGTCGCCGCGGAAGGGATATATACCAAGACTCACATCCTCAGCAGTAGCAGAACACGGCCCACTACCAGCAGCACCGCCGTCAGCACACGCCGGACACCCCGCCCGCGGCGGCGGCAGCTGTTTCCCCGCCATCTCCTCCAACGTCGGCCATTCTTCAACACAGGCCCGACACGCGCAGTCCTCGTGCCTCGTGCTACTCAGGCTCTGCACCCTGGCCGCCTTGTCCCGCTGATAATAGTGCATGCCATAGGCCAGCTGGACCGGCTCCCCGGCCGCCACTCGCCGCAGCGCCCGCACCACCAGCGAGTCGTCCACGAACAACCGCACGGCGTTCGGGTCGCACGAGTGCGCCAACACGCTGCACACCGGTGCAATGCCGACGCCAATGGTGCCAAGACGGACACGCGTGATGCGAGGCGGTTTGCTGTCGTCGCCAAAGCGGACCTCGTGGACAGGGAACGAGTTGCAGGCCGAGATGAGCACCAGGCTGAAGGCGAGTCGGGCGAGGAACTCTTCATCGTCAGACGGCGGGTTATTGTTGGCATTGTCGTCGACATCGTCGTCGTCGTCGTTGTCGCGACTCCTGCTGCAGCTCCTCCTGCGGCTTGACAGTGCCGCCCAAAAGTCCGCGTTGGCCCGGAGACACTTGACGATGTAGACGGCGTTGATGGCGGCCTTGTAGAGCACTGCGGGCCCGCGGCACTCGGCCTTGGACGGCAGGCAGAAGACGGACACGAGAGGGTGAGGGTGCCAGTCGGCGGACGACCCGCGGGTGTGGGTGAACGCCGCCGACCGCCACGTTGGCATGTTCACCTGTGCCATGGACACACAAAGAAGAACAAAGGGGTCATCATCAGATGATCTAAATGGGGGGAGCAAGCTGGCTTCAGGCTTGAACAGTTTAGTCCAGTGTTCTTTCAGTTGAATCGAATGGCAAGCTGTATTTTTGGCTTTCCAGCATTCACATTAAGGTTCACGCAATGTTCCAGCATCCAAACACCTTCCACTAGGGCCACCCACATGTATCCAAAAACATTCTATCACATCAGAAAGGAGAACAGAGTAATACGCCATACATGGATTTTAAAAAGAAGAAAATACCGTATATACTCAAGTACCACACCCACCTTTTTCTCAAATTTCAGAAGATAAAAAGTGGTGCACATCATAATTGGGTACAAATATTTCAAGAAGTTTTAGGAAGTTATGTTTGCATTATACTTAATTATAATTGAGAAATTTGGAACAAATGTAACAAGTGAATTTTTTTGTACTGAAAAAGTTGAAAATTGATCAGATTTTTGTTCAATTCATGCCTAAAGTCAAATTTTTTGTTTTCATTGTCAAAATTTTGTTGTTTTAGATGCACTAAAAATTTGGGTGCGCTTCTTACTCAGGGATAAGATTTTAGAAAAATTTGGAACTGAAAAACTCCTATGCACACCATACTTGAGGGCACATTGTACTCAAGTAAATACAGTACATCCCAAAAAGCCTAATACATACCCTATCTTCCCTTCCCTGATAACAAAAACAAAATATCAGTAATGAGAATTGCACCATGAGCAAATTACTGGACCCAAATTACAGCACAGGTGTTCTTCATAAAATGTATTTTTGGCTCAAAATTCAACCTAGATATTCCCAAAAGTCTCCAACTATCTTTAATTTAGAAATACAATTTTTACTTGAGTACCTGGCACCTCAACTCAAACATTAAGACATGTTAAGATGCATTCCCAATTTTTCACCTCAAAATTTTGCTAAAATCCTATCCCTCACCCCAAGTAAGATGCACACCACATTTGTAATGAGTGAAGAAAAAACTACACTACTGCATTTAAATAATGACAGAAATGAGAACTCAAATTTGAACACAAATTCAACCAGAATTGAACTATTTTTTAAAGTTTTAAAGAAAGTGCAGATTAAAAACTGTCCATTATATCCAAGTGTGACACACACCTAAACTTCTAACATGTTCTTCTCATTTTATCCCTACCTATGACATGCAGGAACAGCCAGGACTGATATACCAGGGACAATCTGTCCAAGATTGCTATGTAGACCAGTATTCTCTTCCCTTCAGGGCCCACAGACCACTAAAATGGTTTGCAGGCCAGCCAAGTTAAAGACATTATTGCAAACCCACATATTTTTTAATACCTACATAAAATTCTCCAACCAACAATTTTATTGCTCAAGTTGAAGTCGGGAATAAATGAAGTTGTTATGTAGTGGAATACAGTACTGTACATAAAGTAATATACTGTATTTCAGAAGGTTCAATTATAACTTGAAGTGTTATTAGCAGAAAGGCCAACTTTTTTCATCACACAATTTCAACTGCCACTGTCTTAAATTTTCAGATAAAAAAAAACAGACTTACTTCATTACCACACCACTGAAAAGTGTATGATGCTAAAGAAAATTTTCCACAGACTGGCAAAAAACGTTTGCAGACCCCTGATATAGATGATAGTTTCTGGACAGTTGAACCTCCTCTCTCAGTCAAATAACTCCCTAACTCGATTTTTTTTTTCAAGTCAATCATCTGAAGACCATTGCAGAAAACAATGGATTGAAAACCTCTCCAACTTGATAGCTATCCTCGTACCTTCGTAACACAAATTCTCTGCGGACTTTAGGATATCATTTTCTTGACAAAAGGAAAGATAAAAGCAATCAAAAAAGTGACTTGATGTGTTTTGAAAGTAAGTGGAAGACTTATCAGGCGAATGAACCCTTGCCTCCAATCTCAGCATCAATTGAAGATTTTGTTATCAGAATAAGGCCCAGAACATCACCATTTACAATTCACTGCAATTTTTCTACCTTCCCCACAACAAATATGCATTTTTCCCTCAGCTGCCTCAATTTTTTTTTTCCTGGGTCCTTAAAATTCGACTTGGAGAGGTTCAACCACTGTACCTGTTCCAAAGTGTTCCGCAGGGTCCGCAATGCCTCGGGCCCCGTATTCGTAAGCAGACGGACACACAAAAGACAGCCATCTTCCAAAGATTTCTCGCTCAGGTTGGCAATCATGGGACACTCGTAGCGGTGAAACGTGTTCCAGCTCGAGTCGCGGCATGACTCGGAGCAGTAAGTCACCTGATCCAGCCCAAATGCGGTTCACCAATCTCAAAATAACCCTTCCTCAACAGTCAACACCGACTCAATCAAGGGGGGTAAGAATCAAAGTTTTTTCATCATGGCTGCTCTTTTTGTCGATCGTTTTTTCCCCCTGCCTAAATATGGCTTCTGGCTTCTACTGTTCACTCTATTAGCAATAGTTGTCAGTTTTAACCACACGAAGCAGGCCACTCGTACACAAGCAAAGCAAAATCCAAAACAAGCTCGCTATTACATCATTCAAAGGATGTGAGCATATACAAGCGTGAGAAAATAGAGGAAGAAAGAAGCATGGTTCCTACACATGAAAACAATTTAACTCATTATATTCACAGTAACTGTGCTACCACTTTTTGAGCAAAAATTCTCAAAATTAAGAATATACAGATAGTACCTTGCAATTTGACCTCTCACAATTTGACCATCCTGCAATTTGATGGTTGAATTTGCAGGGAGGCTGACTTGCAATTTGACCCTCGCCCCACAATTGGACCTGCAGCATTGGTCAATTTTTGTGTGTTTTGTACTGATATATTTTAAATTCAACTGAGTGCCTTGCAATTTGACCCTACTTTGGCAATGGATTAGGGTCAAATTGCAAGATACCACCTGTACATTTTAATTTGCTTGCATTAAAAAATGTCAATATGATAATTTTTTCTTGATCCCAGAAGTTTCACCAGAGGTGGTATATCATGAAAAATAATCATTCTAGGCTGTAGTCTCAGCAAAATAAATGTTTGACTGTGTTGCTGCAAATGGCTTACTTGATGAATGGAAGAGAAATGGAAACAAAATCAAATGGTGCAGTATTTTAACTTCCCAAAAGAAGCAAAACTTTCTCGGGAAAATCATTAATGTTAAAAAAAAACCTGGAATTGCTACTACAAAATTCAAGGGAACAGAAGCAATTCGTTGTAGGGAGAATTTTTCGCATAGAATTCCCCAAACATGTGCAGAGAACCCAATGAGACCAAATAAAAAAATATATATGAAGAGAAAATAGCCATTGTAGGCAAAATTGTTGTAGAGAGTCCACCCACCCGTATTTCTTTATTATTCCCTGCCTAGATCTCTTTGGGAATGCATGCCTGTTTTCCAAATAAAAAGTACATAGAAAGAATGTTCCATGTTCCTCTATTTGAAAGAACAGGTATGAATGAATGAGTTGATTCAGAAGGAAGTAATTCCCCCATGTGTACTTTTATTTCATGTTACAGTATAATCAAAATAAACAGCCCATTAGTAGAAGAGGCAGGTTCAAAATAGAAGACAGATACAACAGTAAATATTCAAAATGTTTTCCTTTTCACTTCATCAGACTTAGAAATCATCAGTCAATGCCAAGTCTTCCATTCTATATATTTTAATAACATTTCACAGCATTCATCACCCATTTCCCACGAATTTTAGTCTAAAATGCGCTTCAAATGATGAATCTGATAATCAGAAACCTGTTTCCTAGCAAAAAAATTTTGAATCAGACCCTTCCTAGTTTGTTGTAATGAGATTTCCCTGCATAACAAGATCTAGACTCAGTCTGGAAAATTCCTTCAATCGCTCTTAATGTCCCCTATATTTATATTCTTTACTTTTCAAGAAATAAGTCTTTTTCCTCTGACCTTCGTACACGTGTAACAAGGAACACATGCGTCAGCTGCTTGCAAACACCACGTACAATGAGAGTCCCAGAAATCCCGCAAGAGGATCTTCACAGCCGGTGTCTCCGTCATGAGAACTTCTCCGGGTGTGATATCCCGGGCTGCCACCAGACCCCATCCATGAGCAGGGTCAAAACAGGGTTCCACAGCCGTAGAGCAGCCAGGCAGCAATGGGTTCTCTGGCCCGTCGACCCTCAAAGGAAAACTCACAGCCTCTGCTGGCTCGCCTAGGGACTCTGGCTTTGGGTTCGGGTTGCATCCGTGGTCGAAAATGGTCTCTAGAACTGGCGTTGTGGCAGGGCCATCTCCTTCCCAAGAGTTTCTTCCCTGACTGGTGGTCAACTTTGAAAGCAAAACAAGAACTGTTCAAAAAGTCTTTATATAATTTTTTTGGTACTTTCCTGTTATCTCAGTACCTCATTCCTAGACCGCACTACCATCCAGAAAAATCTTCAGGACGTGTTCATAATCACAACAACCTACCAGAAACTGCAAATTCTTTTTTTCTGCATTCTGCTGAAAATGATTTTGGGAGGCGGTTAGGTAAAGTTAGGTTAGGTCAGGTTAGGTTGATTAAAAGATATTTGTAACAAACATATCCTGACCTAACCTAACTTTACCTAACTGCCTCCCAAAATTTGTTTCAGCAGAAACCCAAAGAAGGCAGAAACTGATTTTGGGAGGCGGTTAGGTGAAGTTAGGTTAGGTCAGGTTAAATCGGTCAGAGGGAAGGTACAGAGATAACAGGAAAGTAGGTACTGAGATAACAGAAAAGTACCTTTTTTCAGTACACCTGGGCGCAATCAGATCTTGAATATCAAATAAAACATTTGTTTCCAGGTTTTGTAACAAAAACCTATATTGCCAAGTGTTAAAACAGGAAAATAAATATGCTGAGAGAATCTGAAGTAGCATGTACAGTACTCTTGAAACCCTTGACAAATACTGCTATCAATGCACCTATATACAGTACATTCAAAGTATAGTACAGTCTTTCCCTTCCATAAAGAGTAAAAGCATAACCTACCTCTCCAAATTGGACATCAATGGACCAGAAAACATTTTTGACTCAGGGAGGTTTCAACAGATAGACAGAAACAAGGATCTTCATTGGGGGAAAGAAAAAAATTAAAAGAATTTTAAGTTGGTGATATTCTGGGCTTTCAATTGCTTCATTAATGAGTTTCACTGTTACTTTGGAGGCAAGGGTTCATTAGCCCCATCATTCTTTTACTTCCTTTCAGAACGCCTCATTACATTTTTATTGCTTTTCTCTTTCTTGTGCCAAATCAAAATATTCGAGTTAAAAAGGTTTCAGGAAAGGTAGTGTTTGAGTTAGCAAGGACTTTAATGCTATGTTCCTTGGGTAATCCAGGCAGGGATTTTAAAAATTTAGATGCAGATAATTTCAACTTAGAAGGCTTGAGATAGTATTTCCCTATTGAGATACTATTGAGATAGTATGAGCTATAACTGTACAACAAACATTGGGAACAGTAATGTACTTAATTTGCGATAACAAAACAAGTTTCATAACTTAACTCATTAGACCATGCGGCCATTGGATAGGAACCAAAAACGAATTTGTGGTGAGTGATCACTCATTAAAACAAGCACTTACGCATTTCCTACCCTATCCTTGAAGGTACTTTGCCTTGCTATGGGGGAAATTAAGTTATATTTAATCTGATCAAATATTGAAATGCAGTCACATTTGAGCTTTTAATTATTACTCCTGGATGTAACTCTGATAAAACACCCAGCAGCTCAACAATATTGTAAATAAGCTCATTTCATTTACAGGTACAGGTGGTACCTTGCAATTCACTGTCCCACAATTGGACCATCCAGCAATTCAATGGCCAAATTTCCTGGGACATTGACTTGCAATTTGACCTCTTGCTCCACAATTCAACCTGCAGAGCAACTCAAAATATCAAATTTTACATAGAACACATCAAATTTGACATTGTCTCACAATTTGACCACTTTGCAGTTTGACCCTTACCTGGCAATATGGATTAGGGTCAAATTTCAGGGCACCACCTGTACAGTCAAAACCCTAATCTAAACCAGCCTTTCATCCAATACTCTCTGTCAAGTCAAGTGCCACCCTTGTTTATTGCCACAAACTGTTACAGCAGGACATTCAAGTCCTTCATCAAAAAACCTTCTCCATGAATAAGAATTTAAATGGAGAGGGAAAGAAATAAGAAATTTCTTGTTGCCATCAAAATATTTTCATGATTGATTTTCACAATAAAATAGGCAGACCCTTAACAGAAGCTCGTTCCCTGTAGTACACATACCCTGGTAGTTAAAATTCATTCAAGATACAGTAGTACCTGCAATTTGGCTTCCATGCCACCCGCGTTGGCAGGAGTGGATGGATCCGGCAAAGCAGCCTGCACCCCACTTTCCCGTCCGTACTGCAGATGTCGCTGGCCTTGTCCCAGTGACTCCCAATAGTCGGGCTTAGGCTCCACCACGCACCTATCTGGGTGGGCAGTGTTGACAACGAGACTCACGCACTTGCGCCCTTGCCCGGGGCTGTCTTGCTGAAACTGGAATCGGGCCTGAAGACTCTGCAGCAGCTGCGTCACTTCCGGGGACTTCGACAGCTGCATGGCCCGCTGAATATCCTGGTTCGCCTTCTTCAACTTCCCTGCGCGGTGGAAAACCGCTGACCTTTTGAGGAAAGCAAAAAGAATAGAGAGCATGATTCATTGCCAAACGATCGAAGTGTGCAACTTCTCCTGAGAATTTGACACTCGCATTTCATATGCAAAAAAAATGGATGGAACAAGCAGAAACTCCTTTTTGGGGGTTTTACAAAGTCAGGTTACCAGGCAGACAATTGTAACCCAAACAAAGAAGGAATTTCTTCATGGATTTGAGCCATTAATCAAACTTATCTCAGAATGGAAGAAAAGTGCTAATAGTAGGAAGGGAAACAGAAGTATTTCCCAATGACACTTAGGATCAGAAAAAAAGCCTATACAGCCGAAAATTACTTAGTAAAAACAAGATTTTTATAACATTACGCCTATGGGAAACTGCCAGGACCACGAACAATTGTTATAAAAAATATTTTTTATAACAAAATTCATTGTAAAAAAATTCTACTGTATTCTAGTGAGTTATGTTTTGAGTTAGGAAAACAAGCATTTGTGTTGGTGAAATGAGGCATGATCACAGGAAATTGTAAATGACAATTTGCTATAGCCTTAAATAGATAGGTGAAATCCTGGTCCTTTTATTGCTTCTTGAATACGTTTATGGGTTCTTGAACTATGAAGCCAGCAAGGGTTCATTTTCCAAATTTGTCATTCACATATTTTCAAAACACATCAAGTTACACATTCATTGCTGGATGTATTGAATTCAAAATTCTTCATGAGCTTTGAACAAATTCAGCCGAAATAATTCCTTGCTCATCTACTGCCAATGGATTTAAACTCTTGTGTGGAAAAGTTGAGATATTCTTTCAAAATGTTTTGCACTTGAGCAATGACCATTTAGAAGATTTGATTCTTGAGCCAAGGCCAAAACTTGGCATTGGGAAACAGTCCAACACTTTTTTCACCCCTGCAGAAAAATTTGCCACAAAAATAAAAATTCCTTAAAGATTTTCAAGAACAAAGAGATTCACTTTCACCACAGTGACCTGTGGTCAAACTGAAATGCACTGCCCCCAAAAAATCAAAACTTTGCTACAGGATGGTCAGAAACCCTCTGCCATCCAAGGGTTAAGAATAGCAAACTTTTTCTTACCGGAAAACAATCACCTGTACTTGAACCTTGATAACTCAGCGCTCCATGAGTGAAACACCTCCTTGATTAAAAATTGTTTCAAGTCCTTTTCAGAATTCCCTCAGAACTCATGCATTGAAAAGCTGCTTTAACTCAATGAAAGCTTTCCCATTCAACCTCCAGAACTTAAATTCTCTGGAGGCATTCTTTGTGTTAGTTTTTGTACACAAGGAATCAAGAAGCAATGGATGTGTAACTTGATGTGTTTTGAAAAGATGTGAATGACTGATTTGGAAAATGAACCCTTGGCTTCATAGTTCAAGAACCCATCAACTTATTCAAGAAGCAATAAAAGAACCAGAATTTCACCAGAAAATTTTCATTTACAATTTCCTGAGATTATCCTTCATTTCACCAACAAAAATGCTGGTTTCCCTAACTCAAAACCTCCCTCACTGGAATACAGTAAAATTCTGTTACAATGAAATGTTATAACAAATTTTTTGTAATACAGTAACAATTTTTGTAGTCCTGGCAGTTTCCCCTGGGTGTAATGTTATAAAAATCTTGTTTTCACTAAGTAATTTTAGGCTGTAATCTCATTATAATGAATTCTTGGGCATGATTCTGTGCATTGCCCATATAGGGATTCCTCAATAAATGGCAGAAAATGTATAAAAAATAGAAGATCAAGCATTAAAAATTCACAAAAAAAGAAATGTTTATGCATTGAAAACTTGGTGTCCAAAAAAATGCACAACAGGACATATTTTGGGAAATTCTTTGGCTCATCCATTTTAGAATGTATGCCTTTTTCAAACAAACACTATGCTAGATTAATGCTCCTCTATGTTTGAAAGAGCTATGAGTGAATAAGTCAATATAGAAGGATGGGCAGTATTTTTACTGTATGCAATTTAGTTTTATTTTTTTATTTTTCAAGGCAAGCAATACTTAGTACAAATGTTAGTTCATTTAAAGGAGAGTTCTATGTACATCAAAGGATTTCTCTCCATATCATCAAAATCACTCATTAATTATGCAAGGTCTTCAATTATTTTTTTAGAAGCATTTTAAAGTATGTATTTCCCATTTCCATGAAATTTGTCTGAAATGTGCTCAAATAATTAATCTCAACGTAACAAATTTTTTGTTATAACAATTTTTTTCAGGTCCCTGAGAGTTTGTTGTACTGTAGATAGATTTTACTTTATTTTTTCTTTGTTCCTTGAAGTTTGACTTGAAGAGATTTGACCATACAATTTTTCAATTGAGAAAATGCAGATGTTTACAAAGTCGGAATGTTTCTTCATAATTTTTACAACACACTCGTCCGAAAAATAGTCTTGTCCTTCCATATGCAGTTCTCCCTGATTGAAACCCGCCAACTTTACATAAGACCTTAATTCATGTCATGACAAACACATCATGATGTTGATAACAGTACCTATAGCTAATAGGTCAAAAAATGTATATGTTCAACTTAGTGAAAAAACACATTTTGAGCAAAGCATCGCAGGAATGACACTCACCTGTCCAGGTAGGCCAATGTCAGTGTTTCGCTGTCCGGGTTCGCCAGCATGATGCTTTTGTTGAAATACTTCAGAGCAGCCTGATAATCCGCATCTTGCAGCAAGTCACACGCTTTCTTACGGTTCACCGCAGCTTCGTGATCATTCTTCGGTGCCGTGGAGATTTCTGGTCTACAAATCGAGGATTGAATGTACGGTGCATGAAAGTGCAGTAGGGTTATTATCATTTTTCAAGATACACACAGTACAAAGCTATACTTCAACAGTCTTCCATATTTATCTATGACTTGAGCTCCTGATGACACTCACAATTGTATTTCAACTGCTGTATACTAAATTGAATACCATATCCACATTCAAGTGAGACACGCATCATGGTTTTTCAGGTACGTTTGTATATACAGTAAAATCTCAGTAACACAAATCCCAATACAGCAAATACTGGTTGAAACAAGGTCATTTTCAGGTCCATGCCTGCTGCAATAATGTTATTCAGACGTTTTTTTTATAACAAATGTATCTTTATGATGATGCTTTTTCCCTGGACACAACAGTTTATTTGCAATGAGATATCATTTTTAAATCAAATTCAAGTAACATAAGCCATATTTAGTCACTCTAAAACTGCAATATTTTGATAATAAGGACACTGCAAAATTAGAATCCAGACATGCATTGCTCCTTGAATTCAACTAATTTAAAATTATTTCCACTAAAAAAATGTTTCTGGCAAAATATTTCCAAACTTCCCCATGATGAGAATCCAATATAATGCACACCTAAACTTCTGAAACATTTTCAAGAATGCTTACCCTCCTATGAAACACACACCCTTTTTTTCCTCTCAAGTTTGATAAAAACTTGTGCACATCATATTCCAGTAAATACAGTAGCTTGACAAAATTGGTGAACTGATGAACAATAAGACAGAAATTGTGATTGCCAAATAAGTCTCACTTTTTGATCTGCTGTTGGTATGAATTTTTCATACAATTTTCTCTAAGGCACAGTGAGAGACCAAAATATGGACACTGCAACATATGGGAAATTTGACTTGGGGACCCTTAGAACTAAAAAAAAATATGTATATGCCCCAAATATCTCAAAAGTGACTTTATATGGACAATTTTCAATTAAGATTTCTGGATGATTGTGAAATTTTATATTCTGACATTTTTCTTGTAGAAATAGAGCTACTAACACAGAAAATGCTAAAAAAAATTATTATGAAATCACTTCAATTCATAATCCAAAAAAAGCCAATTTTGTGCTTTTTCAGTTTTTTCATCATGTTCACTCAATATAATATTCAAGCTTTGCTTTTTGAACTCCTTATGATGCTAAAACATTAGATTCTGTGTGGCTTTCTTCTGTACATCCATATCCTGTGTCATGGTGTTGAGAAAAGTGATTTTATTCACTTTTTTGGGGCAATTTTTTCAAATATTGATTTGAAGGAGAACCAATTAGAAATATTCTAAGTAAATATATTTATTCTAAATATATCTAATATTCTAAATATTCTTCTAGCTTCAATATTGAAGCTTATTGTTTAATAGGTATGTTTCACAGACATTCTGACTTGGGTACAAGGTTCATGCTGCACCAATTAGTGTACATC